GAGAAGGGCACTTAACCTGAATGTCTCGGCACTAACACAATTGCAAAAATGACTATAGGAAACATAAAGGGTAGGGATTCAATGATGAGAATGCTCCATGGAAGATAAATCCCTGCCAGTTACTGGTACATGTCAGCATGCTGCGTACTGTAAGTGTCCGTGACATTGTAGGTTATACTTAAGGGTCACTATAAAATACAATCCTGCACTGTGTACATCTAAAAGCTGGACTGCTCGGCACATTGATAGATAAGCAGAGCCAATCTGGATTGAACTGTCTATACTAGGGCTGCACGATATTGGAAAAAACTGACATTGCGATTTCTTCCCCCCTGCGATATATATTGCGATATGAAAACATACAGGAATTGAAGAAAAGACAGTTTTTTCCCCGCAAACCATCCTTTCTTGAACTTTAATGCTATACAATTGGTATTTTTTAAACTATATTTAACCGGATGAAGGATTTTAGTCACGGACGTCTGGATCTTAAGTTATCAGAGCAACAAGCTGAGCTAGCTCGGTTAGCAGCGCCGAACTGCCTTTAATCACCGGGTCCATTTGATTGTGATTGGTGGTTTGCTGTGCATGCAGAGCCTGCATGTCACTCACTCAAGTACCCCTGACATGAGAGCTGCGCAAGTTTTCCTTTTGTAGCAAGCAGCAAAATAATTGTAACATGACGTGTTTGAGTTAATTTGCCTACTTAATATCGCAAGTCCTAAAAAAAAAGAAAATAATTGCACGTCCTGCGATGTGAATATCGTGCATGCGCATATCGCGATTATCGTCACGACGCGATATATCGTGCAGCCCTAGTCTATACTAGAGATGTGAAATTGAGTTCGATTTGTCTTTTTACTTTCCCTGTTTGGATACCAAACCTGTTGCGCAGTGCATGCTGGGATGGCAGCAGCTCCAACTATAAGCTTGAATATAAGTAATATAAGCGGGTTAAGAAATACAAAGTAATTCCTCTGTAACTTCAGTTAAATGATTGTACTTATTTTAAAACAGCTTTTTGCAAATGTGTTGTTTAACAAGACAGGTATTTGTATATACTGTACTTGTATATAGACTCTTCTTGCACTATTTCTATTATATTATTATTTACATTTTTGTACATCTCAAAACATTCTCTTGCACAATTTTGTATTAGTTTTATGTCCTAGATATTCATGTTTCACTGTTGGAGGAGCCTGTGACTTAAGTTGTTCATTGCCAGATCTACACTGTAGTTACTGTTTTTTTCTTTTCCTTATGCCCCTGCCTCCCTGGTGTGTTTAGTTGATCCGGGGCCCAGAGCAGAGCAGGGCTCGGCTGGCAGCAGACGGCGGCCAAAGCTCTTTTTATTCTGCCAGGATATCCTCTTGACCTGACATGATGCCAACAGTGACCATCACTTGTAGTAATCGTTCATGGGTCAGGGGGCGACTGGATGCACGTGCCATGCATGCCCATCCTCTGTCTTAAGCTGCATGAAGCAGGCTGGCCAGGGCTGGAGTTTAAGATTAGCCACTCCCTGTAGGCTCAAAATGATTTATCTTTAATGAAGTGACATTTCCTCCAAACTCATTTTCCAAAAAGTAATGGAGGAATTGTCTCTTTTCATCAATATGTCAAAAGATGGAAAAACTGTATCCAGTCAAGAGGAAGTTTTAGTCTGTGTTTTATTTTGGGTCCTGTTCCACAAATAGCCTCGATACTGATTTCCAAAAGCAGTTAAAGCAATTTCTTTCCCATCATCAATCAGTTGAAAATCCAATCATAATACATATTTCTGGAAAAATAACTGTAATATATTTGTCTTAAATCTACTAAAACGTTTGTATCAGATAGATGGCGATCCGGACGGCCAGTTAAAAGTATATAAATATATATATTACCGTAATATGACTTTTTTTAAGAAGAGTTGTGGCTTATTGGAAAGGAAGGTGTGATCTAGTGTCACTATGGGTATATGCATATTACCAGTTTGGTATGGTACAGTGTGCTAGGAAGAAGATAAGAGAACATTTACAAACTTACTTTTTTTTTTTTCATGTTAATTAGCATTTCTCAAAATAGAATTATACAGTTATAATGTCATAAGTATTACATATAAAATCCAGTCCATTCATGTTTTCAGTCATTGCTCTGTCCTCTGTGCGCTGTAACTCATGCTGCCTGTAACCAAAGAACTCCTGAGTGTTATGGCTCTCCAGCACAGAGCCCACTGGTGGCTATCGTGACTGGATTCCAGCAGCAGGAATGCATTTGATACAGACACAGGTGATTAAAGATTTTTCGACACTCTTATGCATGTATAAGCAGCTTTCTCCCATGCACAAGGCGACCTAGAAGAAGCTAGACTGGGTGACCCAGTGGTCATCCTCGGAGCCATCTGGCAACCCATGTCTTGTGTGGCTTACCCTTCCCACTGCCTCACGCAATTCCTTAAGCAAGCATAAGTGTGCTTAGAGGACTTAATCTCAGAGAAACTGGTTTGGGCCCTCACCGTGGACTGCCAGGGTAGGTTCACCGGCTCTCAGGTCATGGGGTTCCTTCAGTCATGTAACACTTAGGCAGCGTTTTTTGGCGACTTACCCCGCCCGACTGTTGTGTGAGTAAAATCTCTGGATTGTATTTGCCCTTTCAATGAAATGCAGCCTGTATGAAGGTGTTTATACCAATTAAGTATTATTACAGGGGTGATTCTTGGGTGTCTCGGACTCCTCGTGCACAATTGTTATACTACACTGAAACGTAATAAGCCATCTGGTTTGTGGCAGTTGTCTAATCTTACGACGGGTGGAAGACATTTGCCCAACTGGAGATGCCCCTGGGCGTGTTCTGTTGGGCCCACCAGGCGAGGAAGTGAGAGAAGCTTGAGCCTGTCTGCACTTGCTCAGAGGTCACTGCTGGCCGTTTGACTGTCTGCCTGTGCAGGGGCCAGAGTCATCCAGAAGAGGGCCTTGGCTACAGGCGGACAAGTGAGCCAGCCAGCCAGACAGGCAGCCAGCCGCATCGTCTGCAGTCTAGGTCTGGGGCTAGAGCATGGACCAGGGCAGCTCGAGTTACCCAGACAGATTTGTTAACACTGTTTGGGTCCGCTCGGCTTTCTAGCCAGGCCTCTGAGCCAAACGCGACTGAGGTGACTTAATCTGTCATTAAACTCACATTACACCCGGACAGAGACTCGGCTCAGGGGCAGAGACAGTGCTCGCTCTCCCTATCACTGGCATGGCTGGCTGGATTTGAGCAGACACAAAGAATACCCCCCCCCCCTCCTCCTCCCCCCCCTCCTCCTCCTCCTCCTCCTCCTCCTCCTCCTCCTCCTCCTCCTCCTCCTCCTCCTCTCTATCCTCTTCATGCCACACACCATGGCACAGCTAGACAGCACAGCACGGTCTAGACAAAAGCAATTTCACTTGAAGTTGAAAAGTCATTTCCCTGTGTGACGGGCACCTGTGTGTGATTGCTGCAGTTTCCGGGGGGGGGCACGTGTATTTGAATTGGAAGAATATCAATTCAGAATACTGATTACTACAACACTGTTGATTTAAACAATTGTTAATGAATCAATCTTTGTTTGAAATTTGCAGAACTGCTATTTGAAACCTAAACAGATTGTGAGAAAAGTCATACTGGATTTGGATGTATTTATGATATTGGTATTACTGGTGAATGTTCCCTTTCTAGCCTGTCAGCTTTAATTATTGAAAACCAGATTATTACAAATATAAAAACAAAGAAAAAAATCATACTTTATAGTATATGTACTGATTATTTTCAAGGCTTTCATATTTTGACAAGCAAAGAAAATGCCCTTCCACTTCTGTCACATTTTGAAAGAGTTTTGAATACAAAGTATATCCATAAACTGTGATGGCCAAACATAGATTATTTCTGTTACTTTATCATTATGAGAGACACATTTCTTTTGACCAAATCTGCCAATCTGAACATGAATCTGACTGCATGAGTATACATGGTGGGGAAATGTGGTTTTACTGCATCAGTGACATTCGTAGCTTTTCATTTCTTTCCTAGCGCTGCCGACAGTACACATGTGTCCGTGGCTATCAGACAAACAGGAGGAGATGGCTGAACTTCGTCCTCATCGGGCAAACTAAATTGCTTCCATTACTCTCCGCTTGGAAATGTCAGAAACCCTAACAACCTGCTGTACCTCGAGTGGAGGTCTAAGACATTGTTTCCCTCAGTTGATATTTGTTTTTACGTAGCAGCTGGTTCTGGTTCTCCCTCCCAAACTCACCACACCCCCACTGTTATGAGCAGCCAAAGCCAACATAGGAACTTTATAATCAACTGTTACCAAAAGCACAGCCAAGCCACATTTTTCCCAGAGAATACGATTTTTTTTGTTATTAATGTTACTGTATTTGTTTGTCAACTTTGGTTGCACCCTGGATGCAAAGCTGTGTTTGGGCAGTTTCGTGGCTGTGTCCTAATGTGTTTCATACGCAGAAACCACTGTGCAGGGAAAGCCTATTGATGTGAGGATACACAGGGCGCTTTCATTTTTCTTTTCTTATGTTCTGGGCCTCAGAGGACAAGGAGTGTGGCCTCTGAATACTGTAATGCAACATTTGAACCGGAGCTTTCCTTACACTGTGGTCCAAATAAAATGACTAAATGATCATTCTGGTCTTCTCTCTTGCTTAGCTTGATCGTAACCTGAGCATAGTCTAAAATCATCACAATGCTTTACCATGGAGTGAAAAAAATCAGCAGGACTTTCTCCTACATGTGTGGAGGGGTTCTAATTATTGAAATGACCCGGTGCTGTTTGCATTACAAGACCTGCAAACTGTAGGTCTTTAATGATACATGGTTTGAGACTAGTGTTTTATCTGTTCATGTAAAAATCTAAATAAAATGTATTCAAACTTGAATTAAGAATGTTTTATATTGAAAAGATGATGCCCTTGTGATCAAACAGGATCTCTAGTTCCTACTGAATGTTTTGACTGACCACACTGTGTTTCTGCCGACAGGTGAAGAAGTACTTTGAGCTGGAGCCGCTGGCCAGAGGGAAGCGCTGGGTCCTGGAGGGAAGCTCCACCGACAACCTGGAAGCAGTGAAGGAAAGCTTCGGTCAGTTCATTAGCCTGTTGGAGGACAAAGACATAGAGCCGGCAAGGATATGATGCTAAAGTTGCTAATGCTATGGACATTAGCGGCTAACAACAAAGTAACAAAACATCCTGCTGGTGCCCATGTACACACACTCATGCACAGATAACATGCACACACAGTCAAATACAGCAGATGTTGGCCTCTCTCTTTGAAATGTGTTACGTATGTTATCCTCCCTTCACTGTGCTCTCACTTTTCAAATCGGAAGAGTGTGTACGCACAAGTCAGCCACCACAGCCTGACAGAGGAGAGCTGCCATTAAACCCACGCAATGTAAAGCGGTTTGTCAAGAAAAATCATTGGACTTTGCCAGCAATGGAAATCTTGTTTACTACTGTCTGTGCCATTGTGATTTAACCAATGGCATGTGGGACACATGGCATTCCTTCAGTCATCATAGGACACACTTACACACACACACACACACACACACACACACACTGTCACTCACAGAGTGGAGCCCAGGTTGTCTGTAGATATGTTTAACATCCGTAATTACTTTACAGGATGTTTAGGTGGGCTTGTTGATGTTCTTTCCACTGAGAAGTGCTGTATGGCTGTCAAGTGTGCTTCTCTGTTAGACTCGGTGACAACGACTGTCGTCGTGTGATTGTGAGTCCGGAGCCTTGTGTTATGTACGGTAGTTACATATTGGTGTGCTGCACCGTCTCTGAATATCTAATCTGAATAGTGTAGTCTGTGTATCTCATGGAGTAATATGTACATGCAAACGAGCATATTGCTGTGCAGCCATACACAAGTACTACTAATCATGTGACTCAGTAAGTGCTATAGGTTACTTTATGGAGACTATTATAAGAAAGCGGAAACAAGTCTGAATGCTTTTTATAATTGTGCAACTTAGGATATATTTTATTGCTCTGTATGTTAACCTTGTAGAGCTACGTTCAGATTTTTTATACATCATACCACGCTTATAAATTATGCCGAATCAAAGACCAAATAATAAAAAACAACCACGATGATTAACCTGGCTGGACGTAGCCACACGGTAGAGAATGTGATGGATTTAGTGTCATTTCAGTGTTCAGAAAATATCATATTTGTTTTAATTTTTCTACACTTCAACTGTATTTTTTTTCCTTTTTGATTTGACATGCCTCTCAACACTGTGTAGCGACTCCAGTCCCCATCAGGGTGGAATACAAACTCTATCAATCAGCCACAGCAACAGCTGCCTCTGACAAGTCCCTGTCCGACACCCTAATGCCTTCCAACTGTCTGTGAAGACCCCTCCCTGTCTGCTGTTTATCGCGGACCCCCGCCCCGCCTCATCCCAAACCATATCAACCAACACCACCCCCCACCCCTGCTCCGCACCCTGTCCCCATTACTGCTTGCCTCGGTGGGGTTTCTATCCCCACATGCCATGTTCAGCCCCCTGCCCTCGTGTGGACTCCACACCTTAATATGAGTCGTATTCATTGTGCCATAGGTGTGTGTCTGTACCCAACATGTGCTGCGGTAACGTCCACACCTACTCTACATGTGCTTTGTGCTTCTGTTGTTGTTTTGTTCAGTATTTTGCCAGGTTTTTAGAGGTTGAATCACTTTTTGTACCTGACGTGAGATCTGCTCGGTAGATTTCTACAATCTGGATGGTTCGGTGCATTTGATCGCTTGAATGCAAAATGAATCTGTCGTCGGACCTTGCTTATCATCTCTTCACACTTAGGTTTTTAAAATATTCACTGCAGTCTGTTTTATTTTTTTTTCAATCATGCTTTTTGTCTCAAATGGCAATTAAAGTTTTAAAAATTCCAATATTGTCTTAGTTTTTTATTGACCATGTTTGATTGTTTAAATGTTGTAGTAGTATATATATGTTAGATATTTCTCATCTGTGTCATATTTAAGGCCCTAGTGTATTTATTTGTAATGTGTAACCCCACAACAGGGGTATGGTTGGCAGGTTCAGGGTTTGTTAAACAGTATTAAAATGTTATTTAGTATGTTGTGTTATTACTCCGCTGTGTAGCCCATGTTTCTAGCAGTGTATCTGTTGGTGAAAGTTGTTTTTTAACCTTATGTCTGTATTAAGTAAATATTGGTACAATATAACATTTGTACTTGATGCATCAGTATGTATGATGAGCTGAATATTCGCCTGTGTTTCTGGAAACATTTTCTTTACAATGTCTCTGATTCATGATTTAAGGTGACCTGTGGAAATGTGAGACACTGGGAGATAATCGGGGAAATGCAGAAGAGCCAGCTAAGGTCGAGCCAAAGTTGAAAAAAAAAAAAAGCAGTCAAAGTGGAGCAGCTGAAGAAAGTTTTGAGTGGAAAGTTAACCGAGTGAGACAGGAGTTCCTAATAAATATACTCTACTCTGTGCTACCTCTGCCTCCCCTTTTCTTCTCCTTTTGCCGTCCTTCCCTCTCTTTCAAATTAACCGTGTGGCTTTAATACAATGTGTGTCATGCAGGTTGCCCTGGCGACTCTTTGATCCTGTTTTCCAGTCTCTGCCTCTGGGGCAGACGTGCTTCTCTTCAGTCTGCTGCACACCGGCTCTGGAGGCTGCTGCAGCCCTGAGACCCACCATGGGCTGCTGCGCTCGCTCCCCCCTCTCTCTTCCTGTCGCTCTCACTTTCTCTCTGTTTTTTGAGTCCTCTTTATCTCTCTCAGGTTCTCTCCATCTCTCTCTCACTCGCTCTGCTTCCCTTTGGTCACGCCACAGCCGCCATCCCTCAGCATGGGCATGCAGGATGCCCAGGGGAAGGATAGAGGCCAGGACCTCAGCGAAGCAGCCCTCCTGGGAGAGAGAAAGAGAGACAGGGTATTTCTCTCTTGTCCACTCCTCCTCAATCTCTACGCTCAGTTTTATTCCCCTGAAAAAGATGCAGCTGGTCCTCTCCTCCCACACTGAACCTTTACCTGTGCTTCCTGTTGAATTTCTCCTGTCTGGCTGTTCGTTTTCTAACCTTTGTTGGCAGCAGACCCTCAGTGTGGCTTACAGAAAATAAGCTGCAAAGTTATATTATCATTGTCGGGTTGTAACACAGTAAAGACTTCATTAATCAATCTGTACTTTACCAAGCAACGATAACGCAGGCACATGTTTACTGTGATGGATACAGTTACTCAAGAAACCTTCAAGTCTCTGCAAGCACATTTACATAATTCAGTAACATGAATGGTAATTAACGGGTGCCTGGAGGGGAGGAAAAACACTTTGAGAAATCTGACAAACTATGGCAAGCCTAATTGTTGGCAGTCCTATAAAGTGAAGGTGTGATTTGTAACAAAAAAGGTGAAACATGCAGAAATGCCAGAGGGCTGCTTTAAGATTCTGGATGTAAAGAATGAGAATGAATGAACCCGAATGCCTCCCAAAATCAAATGTAACTTACCACAATGAGCATTTGTGTTTTGATTATCTGACATAAAAAGCCATGCATTCACATCATGTCTTTGCATGAAGCACCTGGTTACACCGAGAACAGTCAGTGAGACCGCAGGAAATATTCTATCGGGAGGGGTTTACATCTGAAAATGGGCTGAATATCAACATTCATGATCTTACAGTGTGGGGAATAGACTGAATGAAACCATGTGGGCTTTAAAAAAATATTACCCTCATATTTTTATATTTTTCAGCACCACCTCAGCATGACTCCTGAAACGGTAAAGAACATGTGTCATGCTTAAAACAAAACATGTCTTTAACAGAAATAAAACATCAACAGGATCAAATTGAATATAGATGTACAGATGTGTTAGTATTAAATAATCATCGCTGCGGGTTTGAATGTGCAGAATACAAATCAGTCGATGTCATAGCATTCTTTTTAAACTGACAAGAAGATTATTCAGAAAACAAGAGTCATAGGAACGACTTTCATGTTGTATTGGCTCCTTTGGTTGGGAGTCATTCATGTAAAGGTGTTGATTATTGATAGATATAGATATATGTATAGATAGATAGATAGATATATATATATATATAGATAGATACATTATAGGGGCAATAGTGAGCCACATACAATACCACAACCTACCAGAAGTATAAACAATAGTGGTCACACACAACAAAATGAACCCTGTGAGCTTTGTGAAATGCAAATGCGCGACCCGACGGGGAACCTCACTTTCGTTTACAAGATAAACAGAATGCGTGTTTTCTTAAACCCAGCGAAGAATGCCCCTTTCTCTCTGTCTTCTGTCTTCTCCCCTCTCCTGTCCCGTGTGTGTGGCAGCGTCTCTGCTGATAAGGGCTGCCAGGAGGTGGAACAGATGTTGCCCTGACATCCATCTGGGCCTCGTACCCCTGCTCTGCCTCCCACAGCCGATGCTCCACTCAGGACACCCCGCATTCCCGGACCCTCACAGCGAGGGGGCTTCTCCCACACACACACAAAAAAAAGGCTCCCCTCCTCCAGCGGTGACACAGCACTAAGATCTGCTTTCATTTAGGTTACATGTGTGTACGTCAGTTATCAGCCGAGACCCCTGGGTTCATTAGAGGTGTTTCCTCTTCGTTTCAACACTCCTGTCCTCATGACTCTCTCTCACACACCCCTTTGAAAAACAAACACAAATGACGGAAATGCATCGACATGATGTAAGCTGGCGAGGAAATGTTCCCTGGACCAAATAATCATTTCCAGATATCTGAGATGATGATTTTATAAGAGTCTCAAGATGTGCAGCATTTTTGACAATTTGACTGGCCTCACTCAACATACTTTTAATTTTCTCCAATTGATCTGCAAATTGCTAGTTCTGTTTGTGCGGAAGGTCTGAGCCCAAGATGTGAGGTTTGTGTTCACCTCATGTGGTCATTTTATTTTTAATTGATGGAAGAACAGCTGTTATTTCAATGGCCAAACTATGTTGATGCAAAACAGTTATGGACTTTCAGCTCAAGCCAACATTCAGATGTTTCAAATTTGAATATTTTTTAAAACACATACATTGTTGCATACATACATTTCATCCAATAATATAAAACGTTTTTATTTTAACTTGAGTAACATTGAAAGGCAAGACTTTTACTTTACACATTTTACGTTGAGGTATTCCTACTTTTTCTTTCACCACTGTTAAGGGGTAGAAATATTCGTTTTTAAAACACTCATAAAACTCAATCAACTCTAATGAAATACATGTAAATGATATTCAAACCTTTGCCTGATATTCACTTGTTTTCCTCACTTAAAGCAAGCAAAACTGTCTCACTCTTTGCTTTACATTCATTTTAAATATTGCGTTGTTAACAGTGTTGTTAGTAAAGATATTCTTTGATTTGCCAACCACTCACAGGTGTTTTTTTGTTTTCACCGGCTCTGTGTTTTCAGATGTGCAGCAGGAGATTCTTCAGCTCTGACGTCCCTGCAGAGGATCCCTCCTGTCGGGCATGTGATCCGGCAGGTTTTGGTTGAGTTGTAAAACTAATGAGCGGCTCAACCTGATAGAATCTTAACGAGTTACACCATGCCAAGCAGTGAGTGAGTGCACTTTGAGGCAACATGCCACATTCATTATACTATAGGATCCACACATTGTCTGACACTTGCCCTGCATACTTTTTCAGGTCATTATATCTCATGTAAAGATCACTAGTAAATTAAATTAGTCTGTAATTTAATCAGAAGTGGGAATGGAGGATATTGGACATCTGCCACAGTCATTTCTTTCCAATCAATCCTATTTGGACAAGGAAAGCTTTATTCACTCATGTCTGGGATGGTAGCTCAGACGCTCTCATCATCACTTAACGTTAGATTTGTCTTGACATAAGAATGTTAAAACCCTCCCAAATGTTTCTATTTCTGGATCAGATTTGGGCTGCAGAAACTTGTGATCTCTGCCTTCCCAAACTTTATTCACCGCCTCAGATTTATTAACCAGGTCTCAGTGGATTTAAGAAAAACTCCCTATAACTGAACCCCAGCAGGTAAATCTTAATCAATGGGAAGTTTCACTGAGGCCAATTTCTTTTTCTGGTACTACTGTACATCTGAGCAATAAAAACTTGTAACACTATTTATTCAACTTTAACGCAGGTGATCACCGGTGTAAAAAATAAAAATGCTGCACTCTGACTTCTACAAAAAACGTTCTAAACCGAGTGAATGTTTCTACCTCCAAGCAGTGGTTGAAGAAAAAGTAGGAAACCTCAACATAAAATTCCCCATTACAAGTCAAAGTCTTGCATTTAAATGTTACTCAACTGAAAGTACATAAGTGTTATATTATTGGATTACATTAAATGGTGCATTACTCTATCTGTGACATTTGATCAGAGGTGGAAAAAGTACTCAGATCTTGTACTTGATTAAAAGTAAAAGTGCTATAGTGTAGGAATACTCTGTTACAAAAGTCCTGCATTCAAAATGTTACTCGCGCAAAATTACAAAAGTATTAGCATCAAAATATACTAAAAGCACCAAAAGTAAAAGTGCTCATTATGCAGAATAATATATATGATATGTTTTGAGTATAATTATTGCTGCATTTAAGTTTAAGTTTGTATCAAAGCTGGAAAAGGTGCAGCTAGTTTGAATGACTTTGTATACTACAGGGTAGCTTGTGGATTTACTCCAGGTGGAACTAAAGTCTGATTTGATTATATTTTACAATATTAATTTAAGTCTGTGAAGTAACTAAAGGTATTGAATACATGTAGTGGGTTAAAATTACATGATTTACAAAGTACATAAAGTATATATGTAGCAAATAATAGAAATACTCAAGTAAAGTGCAAGTTCCTCAAAAAGTACAGTACTTGAGTAAATGTACTGAGTTACTTTATACCACTG